TATTTTTGTCCATGTTAAATATAAATAGAATTAAAACCACTGATAATCTTGGTTTTGTTTAATGTGGCATTGCATGTTTTTGCTGGCAAACTAATATATTGTGATACACACCGAGTATATTCGAATATGGTGACATGATACATGTATGTTTGCCGAATACCACAGTGCCGTTGTATTCTCAAATCTTGTCAGAAGGTGTTGGTTAATTTTCTATAATAGCAACTCTGACAATAGTGCCAAATAATTCAAATCACAGGTTTATATAATCGTGCTCTTTCTACTACATTATCGTTTCCATAGTAACAACTCATTCACAGGGACTTGTATGGCAGATGATCTAGCGGCTATAATGTAAATGTGGAAATACACTTAGGGACAGGAAAATAATCCATTCTGGGGTGATAATAGTAACTCCAATAATAGTAACTTTTTGTTGGGCCACATCACACAACTCCATTGTTGATTATTTTCATTGCTGATTATTTTCATCACGGCCTTTGCTGTTTTATTCCTTACTTATTACCCAGTTCCATTTCTAACACACGCTGTTAATCATTGCCATTTATTAATATATTGACTCAGTCTTCTAGGCCATAATAAAAATAAAGAATCTTCAATGACTTATATTAGTGAATAATAGTGTGATTTTGTTTGAGTAATGTAAAAAAAGCTGTATTATTTTTTTGATATACGAATTAGTAGTGAGTTGAGACCTGTAGAATGTGTGTGTTATCATTATGGGAGAGAGGAGTGGAGAGGAGAATCTCTGCTACACAGAGTCTATTCTAGTTCATTAACAGGAGCACTGGGCCTAGAAATACAACATAGAAGTGATATGAAATACTGAACACATCACTGAAGGCACACAAGTGTGTGTGTGTGTGTGGGTTTGGGTGTTTGAGACTGTATCTCTCTGCATCAGCAGTTCTAAGTCTCCGCATCAGTACATCTGTCACTCTCTCTCTCTCTGTTTCTCTCTCAGTTAGAGAGCCCCCATTACAGAAGCCCCATGCCTTCCATCTAGCCTACTTATTATGCGTACTATCTTCCTTTGTGCTTGAAAACAGATCATCCGAAACTAAGACCGCCACTAAATATGCAGCCTTTTGTATGACCTTATGCACAAATGTAACTTTTGTCCCATTTTACATTATTTTGCATATTCTCGGATTTTCAGTATGTGTGCACTCAGGCGCCACTTTAACAGGAACACCTGTACACCTACTCATTCACTCAATTATCCAATCAGCCAATCATGCAGCAGCAGCACAATGCACAAAATCATGCAGATACAGGTCAAGAGCTTCAGTTAATGTTCATATTAAACGAAAGAATGGGGGTAAAAAGTGATTTCAATGACTTTGACCATGACATGGTTGCTGGTACCAGGCGAGTTGGTTTGATTTTTTTCACAAACCGCTGATCTCTTTGGACTTTCATGTACAACAGTCTATAGAGTTTACACTAAAAGATGAAGAAAAAAAAACCATCCAGTAAGCGTCAGTTCCCAAATAACCACTCTTTAACCACTCTTTACAACATGGTGAGCAGCAAAACATCACAGAACACACAGACTACATCAAAGCTTGTGGCTGATGGGCTACAACAGCAGAAGATCCCATTGTGTTCCACTCCTGTCAGCAAAGAGCAGGAATCTGAGGCTACAATTGGCACAATCATCAAAACATAATGAATCACTGCACGTCTTCAGTCTTACATACATACAACACACTCACTGTATGACACCACCACCACACACAATCTGTTCCAGAGGAAAAGACAAAGTCCTCCCTCTGGCTCCTGTTTTAATCTGTCAGTCTACCTGGCAGGCTGAAGATGGATGTCATGCAGCAGGTGTTGAGATTTTGAGCTGCATGCCCGCTTGTGTGTATGATATTGAATGAAGTAGCCAGACACACTGAGATGTAGGAGACAGATGTACAGTCAGAGACGCAAAAAAAGAAGAAACATATTCCTCATATAGCTTCCCTTTCATTGTACCAGAAACCAGCTGGAGGGAGAGAGAGAGAGAGAGAGAGAGAGAGAGAGAGAGAGAGCAAATGTGAAGCCTTGAAAGCAAACTCAATGCAAACTGACGCACAAGAGGTCAGAGGAAGCCCTGTAATTTTATTTTGTTCCATTTATTTTTTTTCATTAGCACAGAATAAACAGCCAGCAAATTATCCCACGACATAAGTCCAATGCGAAAGAGAAAACCACCGTACTCTCCAGAGCAAATAGTAACATTGATGCTACTATATAATATTATATAACAGTATATAAAAGCTGGTAACAAGTAAGACAGCATGTAACATGGGCTCTTAAAACAGGGCACCTTACTTATAAATAAGCCCTAATATACCTGCCATAATATACCTATACAACTCAAATAATACAGTATTTACACATTGTTTTGACAACCTCCGGCTAAGTGCAACTCAAATCCTTTAATAATATTGTTGGCTGGCAGTTGTGCTAACCAATTTAATAATTTAATCCTCCTACTGCCACTTCAGAATGATGAAAATGATTGTCATTCTTTTTAATACTAAAAGAATTTGTAGTTCCAACAGCTGTGGTTATGAGCTGGTCCTCACTGTGGAACCAAAATTTCAAAGGGTGGACCTGGATCCAAGTCCTCCTATAAGCCTAACCCTAACCCCTAAACCTAGCCCACACAATGCTGTACAACACTAAACAACATTTAACACACTTAGCCTGAAACACACTGAGTTGTCGCCACCCTTTTTGACTTTTGGTTCGACTCCGCCCCGTGGACATTTTGTCCTGCAGCGGGGGACACTTTGTGATTACAGTTATACAGTTATTATACTGTAAGTATTTATGTTATGCTGTGAATATTTACCCTAGTTGTAACACTTATACATATCATCGTCACACTATGATATTTATTTGATATTTCAGAGATAATGTAGAACAAAGCCCGCGTACATGCACTAACTCAGGCAGCAGTAGCACAACACTGGTGCTGTCTAGCCACGCAATCTGCTCAGGCTATAGGATGCTTTCTATTCACACTGCAGCAGTCTAACCCTGTTTCCAAAATGGTGCACTACTCCGTATTCCCTACAAATGGCAACAGGCAGTATGGGTACACTTGGATAATAACCTATTGCAATGCACTGTGGGACTTCATGGGGGCAATGAATATTTTCCACTATATTTTCTGACATGGGTACGGTGTACTATTTAGTGCATTTTCTGCATAAACTTCCTGCTAGCTTCCTCACTCCTGCTCTGAGCACACTTCACCTATTCCCTCAAGTATTATTTACACCTATTCTTTATCATTTGTCTTACTGTGCATTTCCATAGAAAGGTTTTCACGGTTTCCTATGATTTTGACTTTGTTATCCATGTCTTGATCTTGTTTATTGATTTGCCTACTTTGGTCATGTCTGCCTATGCTGTGACCTCAAGCCCAAGTCATGGGCACCAGCCTGGTGCCCTCCTATTATTCCATCAGGACAACACGCTGAGAAAAACAAAGAGCTGCAACAGCCCATATGATGGAGCACTGAAAGGCCACTTTTAACTTCTATATGCAAATTATACGCAATCTGTGGCAAAAATGTGCCTGAGCATTTGGACTAAGAGCATGTGCCAAAGCTGCAGTCTGTCACCATATAAATAAGGGTTTGGCCAAATGTGGTCTCGCTTGGCTTATGTTTCAGTTATCATATTTAACTTTGTAAAGAAATGCTGTCAGTTGCGGAAATTAAAGGCAGAAACAGCCAGTCGAGGCAGTTTCTTATTTAAATGAGTCTATTTAACAGTAATATCATGAAGGAAACAAAATCCTGTTTGCTGTCTTAGGAAATCCATCTGTAAAATGTTTCCGTTTCCACAGTGCAATTACAAAATTGTTCTTTTAAAAGGAGTTATGGTTAAAAACAGGCTTGTAAGAGAAAGCATTAGGCTGGTGCTTGCAACCAACATTAACAACATAATGGTGCTTAAACCTGAACCCACTTCTCTTACATGTGTTTGGGCATGACGTCTAGTTATGTGCAGACAGGTCTGATATTTTGATGGATTGAAATGCTAATTTGAACAGCAGCTACAAATCTCTGGTGGATATCCAAGCTAAAAGAGCTCCAGCCATTTAGAAATGCTTAAAATGCATGCTTAAAATGCAGATAGGGAGAGAAATAGAGTTTACAGTCAGGGGGTTTCAGCAGGAAGGCTCTGTCTGAGGATGCATAGTCCTAAAACCTAAAAATAAAATGCCTCAGGACAAAAACTATTGCCCTTAGTCTGTCTGTAAGATGAAGACTATAGTTAAATCTCTCTCTCTCTCTCTTTCTCTCTCTCTCTATCATAGTAGTAGAGCAAGCAGTGAGATGCCACCACTTTGACTACACAACAGCCCTCACCACACAAACACATAAACAGACATCATAATTTCGAGCTATAAGTACTCTCATGCCCATCACAAGCAATTACAGGCAATTCGAAATTTAAGGGCTCCCTGTTCCAGATATTCCTGACCCCACCTCTCTTTTTCTCATTCATTGTCCCCAAACCCATGCTGCATCCCTGATTTCAGTAAGTCAGAGCATGAGAAGATTTTATAGGAGAATATCCCAACGAAACAAACAGTAGCAAACAGCGTCATGTTGAGAGGCTGCTTTTTCAATAAGCTGTTACAGGTAAACTGCGCTACTAATGTCTTACCTAGAGATATGTCAACACCCTTATTAAACAAATACAGCATGTATCCACACATAAGATGCATTCTCATAAAACTACAACAGGGCTTCAAAAGAAGAACCAGCAAAATGGCCATTGCTCTCGGTGCAACTGGGGTCTGTTTTTGTTCTTTCGGCTGCTCCCTTTAGGGCTCATCACAGCGGATCACTGGTCCGCATGATTGATTTGGCACAGGTTTTACGCCGGATGCCCTTCCTGACACAGCCCTCCCATTTTCTCCAGGCTTGGGACCAGCACTCAGAGTACACTCCCAGTGGCCTGGTGGGTTCCCTGCCTGGGAATTGAACCTGGCCCACGGTGGTGAGAGCGCAGGATCATTAGCCACTAGATCACCAAGGACTGGGTCTACACTAGGGGTGTAACAATCGTAAAATTTGAATAGATGCATTGATTTAAAAAGCAACAATCGTCAACAATATTATTATTGATGGAATATTACTGATTAGAAATAAATTGTATAATTGAATACAAAGTTGGTCACATCTATCAGGGGCTAGTAAATTGAATCGTGTCATATCGTAGCAGGCTCAGTGGTATATCGAATCTTCGCCTTGAGAATCAAAATTGTATCATGTGGAAGACTGAGGTTTACACCCCTAGTGTGCACATGGTGTATCTATACATACTGAAGAAAAATGTAATACATGTCTAATGATAATTGTGTACATTTCAGAGTTAGTAGCAAAAAAATCTAATACAAGTATACTTACACAAAAACAAGGGGGAAATCTGGGCTGATGGACTAATGGATGACGAAAGCAGAGTCTCTTAGGCCTGTAAACAAACAAACAAACACACAAACACAATTTAAATTGTCTTCAGAATACAGGGGAAAAAATCAGTTTTTCAGGATTTTAGCTATTTCACTGCAACTACCTCAGACCGATGTTGCACAGCATTGTATTGCACATACAACTGCACATACCTGCACTTTATTCCTCATATAGTCCATACTTTTTCCACCAACTATCTTTTATATCCTTTATATTATGTTTTTATCTTTTTTTTTCTACTCGTATGCAAGTAAATTCTGTTTTTTTATGTCACCGGACAGTTGTAAAAAACATTTCACTGCACATCGTACTGTGTATGGTTGTGTGCGACCAATACATTTTTTTATTGAATCATTAGAATCTGAAACAAAATATGCACGTACCTAAGATAAGTGTGATAAGTGTATTAGAATTTGGTGTCTGTAATGTTTTGTAATTGTCATTTCACTCAGAGATCAAATAAAGTAATCTATCTATCTATCTATCTATCTATCTAAGATGGCATACATCTAAATGTCACTGTAGGTTCTTTTTAGTGACTATATTAAATCTCTTATAAATTGGTTTATTATTCCTTCTCTTAAAACAATATATGTGGTTCAGGAAGCTCAGAGTGAGCCTGTGATTCTCATAGCTGCTCACTGCTACCTGCAAGTAAGAGTTTGCCCTTACAGATTGTTACAGATTGGCAGAATAGCAAAAATAACTGCAAGAGGTAGAGAAATAATGCAAGATAATGATTTTTTAAAAATAAGTTGTTGCAGAAGAATGCACTGTACAGACTAGTCTCTTAGGACACTGAAAGAATGAATTACCTTCTACCTATACTGTGCCAGTATTGGAATGTGTAACAGTGTCCATGTACACTTTTCTAATTTGGAGGTAGTTTGAGTCGTGGACTTTAGTCAAAAATATATAATAACATTTTTGTCATTTAGCACAGATGGAAAATACTTGAATAATTATACTTCGTTACTATACCTAAGTATTATATTGGTGTGTTTATAGTTGGCATGCATATTATTAAAATTGAATACTTGTACTCTTACATAAGGACATTTCCAAGAACAAAACATACTTCCTACATGTTTATTTATTAGACCTGAAATGTAGTCATTACAAGTCCCGAATGTTTCCTCTTCTCTTCTCTCTCAGCCACTAACTGCGCGCTATACATGGATCAAATGGGCTCCGGTTTAGCATCCAAATCATTTCAGTTTATCATCCAATCAAGTTCCTTAATAGAGAAAAAGAAAATCTATCATGAATCATGCTAATTTGTAATCTCTAGTGACCTGTTCATGTCACACAACGCTAGTTATAGTTAACGCTATAGCTGTGTCCACCTTGATTATAAGCGCCCGGGCTCTACCACAGTAAAATGTTTCATTATGCTGGAGTAAGCAAGCACTCGTATAAAATGAGGTCCTCTCCTCCAAAAAAGCTAATTTGAAAAAGCATGCTGGGGTAAACGTTTTGCTAATTTGTTAACATTTACTGGCTACATTTAACTAGGTTGGCCTGTTTACTTTGCTAATGCCATCTTAGACTAGCATTGATTCCAGTAACTAATGTAATTGGCTAGGCAGCACATTCTACATTCTAGCTAAGGGGAAATGTTGGTTATTTTCAGGATATTTCATTTCTGATTACTGCATTATCAAACTGCATAGTGTCAGTCATGACATATAATCAGCAAACCCTCAGAGACTGAAAATAGGTTTTTAGGCAAAACAGCGTAGTTTCTTTAAAGGCAAAAATCATCTTTTAAAAGATTTAAATTGACGTTAACTTAATTTCATCATTGAAAAATTTTTACTTGTTGCTTTTTTAATACTTGAGTACATTTAAATGCAGCACCATTAGTTGACTTTGACTCATCGTCTATATTTTCCCTTAAATAGAATTTCTCAGCACTATTTCACACCCCTGTGATTTAGAAATTGTTCATTTAAGTTTAGATTTTGATGATGATCATAGATTTATTTGATTAAAAAAACTATAATCTAGTGATTTTAGAATATTAATGTTCTTTTAAAGTTTCTAAAATGCAAAAGCTCTAATTTACCATATTCTAAAACTGAACACCAGATTCTTCAATGGAATGCTGTTCGCATTTTGGAATTCACCGCCTTAACAGCCTTTCCACAGCCTTTCTCTTTTAATTTGTGTTATTTAAATGAAAGTGCTAGTTCTAGCTAGCTAAAGCACGCTAGCTAATGAAGTCAATATAATCAAACCATTTCTGACATTTATGTCTTGTTTTAATTAATATTTATGTCACATTAATTAATGTTAATTAACATTTATGTTTTGTTGTTGCTATGAAAAAATGTAAAAAAATAAAAAATAAAAAAATGCTGGAGTGTAAAATCTTTTTGTACTGACCTTATAGTGCCATATTACTACATATTGTACATGTACTGTCTCCCACAAGACAGTACATGTACAATAGACTGCCCTTAGTTTTCCATTATAAGAGGGTTTCTCTGAGTAAACACTTTCCATTCTTTGCTCATTGTCAGCATTATTGTCCATGCTCGATAATGATTAGGTGGAAAGACCACTGGGGTATTCTTTTGAAGAACATGGCCTCAGAACTGAGCTGATATGCTGTATGTATACGTGCAATGAGGTCAAACTCATCAGTTGTCTAGTCAACTCGGTTTCTCTTAAAATGAAGAAAGACTTTGGGACAGACTGACAGATGCTAACAAAAGACATTTCACACAGTACTGGAGCATTCAAGTACTGTGTGAAATGTCTTTTCGATCGAAGTAAAAAGAGCAGGAAATGTATAGTTAGTGATACTGTTCATGCAGCAAGTCACTAGGCAATGGAATGTTGTAGGGTTTTTTTTTTCCATCATTAAAATGTAAACTATTCTTGTTAACAAAGTCTCAGTGGAGAGAGGTGGCACTGGTAGCAAAAACGTCAGCACTATCTATTAGTTAGATAGAGTTATCATTATGTCTAAAGTGCTAGTCTTACACAATAAGTCTGCCAAATAGCAGATGTTATAATGCCAGAAAATGGATGTCGAAATGTAAAGAAATAAATAAAAGTGGACAGTGGAACTAAAACTAGCTAGTTCATAAAATTACCTTGACTTGCTGGGTTTTTAAACGTGTGGTTTAAAAGACAAATTTAAGAACGTGGTTCTGTTAAGTGCTGTCTTTGTGGACAAAGTTTCATAACATCCAGTCTTGTAAAATGCACGTGCATACACAAACGTGCACATGTCCTCACTGCCTTGGGCTTGATATGAGAATTGGTATAAAGGTCACATGATGCTCTTGACTTGGTCCCCATCTGTCCAGTTCTGTTCATTAGCTCTCTGTAGTGTCATAAACTCATGTCTCGTCTCTCATCTGCCACCCTCCGGGGCTATTTTGCTGCCCTGACCTCTGACTCAGTAAATTATGGGTCTGGGCAGGTCAGGAGGTCACCGCAATAACTGTCCGCTTGGGTAGAGGAACAGAGTCAAGGGCTCGGACCATAACCCAACAACTTCATCAATGAAACAGACTTTAATCGTATTGCTATAGGGACAGCTGTGACAGTGACACTGTTAATGAAGCTAGCAGATAATAAAAGCTTCTTAGTCGTTATGTTCCTCTCAGTTCAAAGCACTGAAGCAGATGTTCTCAGTTATTAGCTAAATAAGTTAATATAGATTAATTTAATGAAAATCTAAATCACAATTTTATTGCAATGCAATCAAAATAGATAGCTTGGGTAAAGCAGATGTCCATTACTACATAGTGATTTGGATTATGCTGTATTGGAAGCCACAGGATGAATGTATTAAAAGGATAAACAGATCTCAGAAAAATGAATGAATAAACCATGGTGCAGATCTCATGCTTGGCAGGAGTGATGGCTAGATGCTGCAAAGTGACCTAGTTTTAACAGGAGGAGCAGAAGAGTGAATATGGGGGTGTGCAGAGGAGTGAGAGGTTTCTGTAGTAAAGAGGGATGGAAGGAGGAAGAGTGTGGAAAAGGGAAAGAGGCTTCTCTTTTTACCCCCTGAGGACAAGCCTGAGGAGATGGCATGTTCAATCAAAGATAAATCAATCTGGCCTGTCCCTGACCCATGCAAAGCTCTTCTTCCACCTAATGTACGAATTAAAAAGTAAGTGGCAGTATAACTGGAACATGCACACACATTCTCCTCTCTCATTATATAGCCACTATCAATCAGTGCAAAGCCTTGAAACAGAAAGAAAACAGTTCACACATCAAATCTGTCCAAATATCAGTGTCACTTAAAGAAATCTCGCTACTTTTGGCACTAACGTCTCTAAAAAAACTATTAGAATTTTGCTGTCACTTGGCACAATTCGGTTAATCACTCAATTGAGACAGAAAAGAGCCATCGGGGCTTTAAGTTGTCCGATGCAGTGATGTATGATGTTAATGAGCGTAAGGGGCGAGTGGACTCACTGGGTCACTGGGCAAAAACAAACCACAAAAGTGAAATTATTAATATTATATATATATTTACAAATTCAGTTTCATGTGTTTTGAACTTACATGTACATGTCTTGCTTATGGAAAGCTATC